CTGCTTCCTTTCATGGGTAAGCTGGTGTTTATCTAATGGCTATTGATATATACTTCAAAGCTATCTCTATGCTTATAACAGAATATCAGAGTTGGAAGGGATCTTGGAGGTCTTCTAGACCAGTGGTCCCCAACCTTTTTTGTACCAGGGACCAGTTTCACGCAGGAACACTTTTTCAAGGACCGGTTAGGGTTTTTAAATTTATTTATTTTTAATTATTATTTATTTATTTATTTTTATTTTTTATTTTATTTACTATTACACTATCAACTCACCAAAATTAACCAATGTTGGAGGATTACTAAAAATGTGTATAAATGCAAGACTAGACTCCAATAAAGTCATCATGATTCAGTTGATCATGATCAAACAAAAATATATGTTTGGCAAAAATATATGTTTTCTCCAAAAGCGTTTTGTAAGGTAATAATCCGCAATTCAGATTTTACATTTAGGATGGGTTTGATCTCCCATATGGTCTTCAGCTTTCCACAATCTCAACAATTGTAAGGTGTGTGGGGAATTCAGAGAGTCCAAGTCCACACATTTTAAAGTTGTTGAGGTTCAGAAATCCAGGCATATAAGGAATTCTGGGGATTCATTCCAAATACCTGGAGAGCCCACTTCTTTCCAGATCTCTCTCACCCCATTTCGCTGCAACCCCTTGGCAAGCAGAGCATTGTCTAGAATTCTTCCAGCTGAAATAAGACTTTCAATTACCTGGGAATAAATCCATATTAAACCAGTCAAACTTTTAGTAGATATTCACTGTGTAGCTTGGCTAAAGCAACATTCTGCCCTGTGTGTTTTAGGATTCTCGTCTCTTTCGCTCTCTTCTCTTCACCTCTCCCGGTTGTTTTGGGCGGCGACTGCCTTCGCCTCCACCCGGCGCCTTTCGTCGCGCACCCTCGTCCTCCCCCTGCTGACAGCTCCTCCGCCGCCGCCGAGCCATGGTCCCAGCGCCCCTCCGGCACCCCCAGGGCTGCTTTCGGGGGCTCCCGCGAGGGGTCTGGATTGGGATCTGAGCCCCTTCATTCCACCCCACTCCAGCTTTTGGTTCACACGCCTCTTTCGCTTTCGCGGAAAGAGGCGCTTCGTGGCGGAGCCGCTGAGGCGAGCTTTCTCCCCACCCCGCGTTCCTTTCTCCCTCAGGCCGCCGACTGGTGCTGCTGAGGGCAGACTTCCCTTTGGCTGGAGACATCATTTTTTTCACAGCCAAACAGATAGAAATACGGCCAGATTTCTCGTATTTGGCCGGAAAAACAGCCAGATGGCAACCCTGTTCAACGTCCCCTTTTTCTCCAGCCACGCACGGCGTGGAGCTGACGTTTTTGGTCGAGGCTGAGGGACGGTGTCAAAACCAGCACTTGATCCAGCACGTCGAAACAAGATGGCGCCCAAGCAAAGTAGGCGGCCCGGTCCAAAATGATCCATGGACCGGTACCGGTCCGGGGACCGGTGGTTGGGGACCACTGTTCTAGACCAAGCCCCTGCTCAGACAGGAACCCTATACCATTTCAGACAATAGTTATTTGATCTCTTAAAAACTTCTAGTGTTGGAGCATTGACTTCTGGAGGCAAGTTGTTCCACTGGTTAACTGTTCAGTCAGGAAATTTCTACTTAGTTCTAGATTGCTTCTCTCCTTGATTAGTTTCTATCCATTGCTTGTTATCCTGCTTTAAGGTGCTTTGGAGAACGAGCTGACCCTCTCTTCATGGCAACCCCTTTGATATTGGAACACTGCTATCATGTCACCCCTGGTTCTTCTTTTCATTAAATTAGTCATACTCAATTCCACCAACCTTTCTTTATGTTTTAGCCTCCGGTCCCCTAATCATCTTTGTTGCTCTTCTCTGCACTCTAGTTTCTAGAGTCTCAATATCTTTTTTACATTGTGGTGACCAAAACTCGGTGCAGTATTCGAAGTGTGGTCTTACCAAGGCATTATAATGTGGTACTTAAACTTCACATGATCTTGATTCAATCCCTGTTAATGCAGCCTAGGATTGCACGGTCCTTTTTGGCAGCTGCATCACACTGCTGCTGGCTCATTTTTAAGTGATTGTTACGGGGACTCCAAGATCCTTCTGAGTTACTGCTCTTGAGCCAGGTACTCCTATATTCTGTGCATTTGTGTTTTCTTGCCTAAATGTAGAACTTTATAGAACTTCTTTATATCCATACTTTCCAGGGTAGAGATGGAACAACTTTCTGAAGAATACTGTGATATTTTTGCAAGTTTTTTTGCAGATAAAATTGCTTGTGTTTTCTTGGAGTTTGATGCTACTTGGTCAGAGGCTGACAAGATAAATGAACATTTGCCTGCAGCCTAGCTCATTTGTGTGCTAGTCCTGGCAATATAATCAGGAGGAAAATATTGGCATTGAACATCAATGAAAGTTATTCGGCAACATTCATTTCTGTCTGCCCATTGCCAACTCAGATGTCCTGTTCTTGGCATCCACCGGATATATTCTCAGGATTAATGCATTATTTACAACCCAGAATATCAAGCAATGTAGCCAAAAACTCCTGAAGATGGTGAACAGCCAAATGTTAATGTTGGCCACTGTATATTTTTGTACCATCTGTGCAGGAGTATATGCCAATGAGGTTGAGCAGAGTGATGCAAAGAATTTCCTATAAATAGAAATTTAAATATTACAAAATATTAGGCGGATACTTAACAACATCAACAACTACACTACTCTTTGTATCTGTTTAAATGTAAAACTCTTGCAATGCAAGTTATAGGAAATGCTTCAATATTCATTATATTCTAAGAATAAATCTCTAAAAATACTTGACAACTATGAAATCCTGTACAAATTGTGTACTAATATGGTTAACCACAAATGCTTGACTTCAGGAAGAAGCTGTCATGAAAAGATTAAAGTTGGCCAAAGAAAGATAGATAATTCCTATTTTTTTATTCTAAATGCTGATGCAATTGGCATCTGCATTGATTTATATGTTGTTAGAATAGTTTGGTGAAATTTTGAAGGCTGGTTGCTAGAAAATGATTGGTTACAAAGCTTAATAGTAAATTATGAATACATTTAAATCAATTGCTATATGTAAATCGCTTGTTAAAAGGCAAGGAATATATTTCTGACCAAGTGTCATCCAAATTTGTTGGAAACTAGATTTTGAGAATTGCCAAGCTGTTACGATACACTGACTTTAGAAATGAATGACATCAAAAAACAGAAGTTTAAGATATTGGAAGTGCTTTAAGAAGCTATCAAAGCAATAAAAACTGTGTTTATGAGGCAAATTATATTATTCCTGTGCCTCACTGACAATGTCTACGACAGCAGCTCTTCAAAATGATCTCCAAAATTGCTTTGGAGGACACAAGTTCAAATAAACACTTCTCTGCATCATCTTTATGTAGCCATTTCTTTTCTATCGTTAACAAAATGAAGCCTTGATTTAATGATTTAATCCATTTAGTGGATTTCATATGCAAGAAACTGAAGTTCCACTTGGATTTCCCCAAACAAGGACATGTTTGCTGCATCTGAAATAATCTGGATGAGACAATTACATTTATCTTAATTTTAAATTAATTCGATGACATTTGTGACATAAAAATGTATATTGCAGAAATGTTGTTGCTGGTGTCATGAAGCAAATGTCCTATAATGTGTGAATTTGAATATCCAGGCATGATATTCCCCTCTGAAAAAAAAATCGGGGCCGGCCAAAAGAGACCCCCCCACCGCGCGCCAAGAAATCGCTGCCCAGCTCCCTTTTCCTGCCGCTCAGCGGCCTCCGCTCGCACCGCCCGCCCGGGCTCCGCTCGCACCGCCCGCCCGGGCTCCGCTCGCACCGCCCGCCCGCCCGGGCTCCGCTCGCACCGCCCGCCTGGGCTCCGCTCGCACCGCCCGGGCTCCGCTCAGGTATCTGGCTGGGGCTGTCAGGAGTTGCTACCGCCGGCGCGGCTCCGCGCGGCTCCAGTCCCGCGTTGCCTCGGGAAGGGAAAGGCAAAACCAGGAGCCGCTGCTGCCATTGCAAAGCGCTGCCGCGGCTCTTCCTTTTTGCCTTTCCCTTCCTGAGGCAACATGGAACTGGAGCCACGCAGAGCCGCGCTGGCGGTAGCAACTCCTGACTCGGGGCCTCCGAGGGGAGGGGAAGGAGGAGAAGAAGGGGGGGAAGGGGGGGCGATTCCCAAAAAAATCGGAATTCCGATTTTAATCGGAAGAATATCATGTCTGATATAACAGACATTCTAGAAATAACGATCTAGTCTCACAGCAATGTGTTAAAAGTGAGGATTCATTAAACTCTCTTCTCCTTATTGAAATCATTTTTAAATAAACATAATTTTACAGTTAAACAAATTGTTAAAGTAACTGTTTTGGCTCATGTTTTGCTGAACTTGGAAGAGAATGAACCAGAGTAGTGGATTTCATTGTGATTTTATCAACTTGTTTGTTTTTTTCAATAATTATTTATAATTATTGAAATTATTTATTTATGAAATTATTTATAATTATTGTTTTTGTGAAGAAATAAAATAACACAATTTATTTCAATTTTTCCTCAAACAATCCTCCTATTAATAAAGATGCTACTTCTGGTTTGTAAAAGGACCATGGCATAGGTCATATTTAGATGTTACATCTGGAATGCTCACCTGATCTGCTACTCCCCACTCCCGCAAAAGGAGGCTGTGATTGTCAGCAGAAAAATACTGGTCTGCAGCTGTATGCTTTACACTTTCACATAAGCAAAGACTGCATTTATTTGGGGAAATAGAAAACAAAAACAAAACTTTCCTACTAGAAGATAGATAAAAAGAGTTATATGAATTACTGTATAGTCATAGATCTTTAGACCGAAGTGGTTTTATCCAATGGCAATTATTTTAAAGCTGGGGCATTAACCAATATATTTTTCACCAAACTCAATTTAAAAGTTAAGGCTTTTTTCCTAACAGTAGTGTGATACATACATTTGTATATACTAGGTAATAATAGACAAATCAGCCAAGTACAGTTTGTTTGTTTTTTAATAAAGATATAATTACAAAAAGGGGATAAAATCAATCCGGGAAAAGGGAAATTTTAATAGATCAGTTTAGACGTTTAACTACATCTTAACTCACATCCATTTTAAATAGTATTACATAAAGCCTGGTGGAAGGAACAAATTTTGTATCATAATTGAGGAATTCACAATACAAGTTGCCAAAAATCAAAACACAGTTGTTTGAAAATAAATATGCTCCATGCCGAATTCTACTAAATGAAAATAAAAAGTCTCTTCCAGTACGAAAAGTTTCTCTTAGTATTTTTTTCATTATGGTATTGGGTCCTTTGACTGACATACTGTAAGGCTTTATGTTCAAGGATTGCTTAGCTGTTCTGATTTTGTGCTGGGGGGGGGGGGCAGAAAGAAAAGACAGTTATTAGTATAGGTCACATGTTAATACTGTGTGCATTTATTATGCAAAAAGTGCAGTCCAAAATCTGAATGCAGGCTATAAATATAATTTCTCAAGAGCCTCACAAATGGCTTGGGCTGAAACCTGGACTCATTTTTTTGATTCTGGAGAACTTCTATGGGCCAAAGTGAGCGCTTTAAGCTTGGCATTTGTTTAAGGAATCTATTGCACCTTCAGAAAATTGTGGAAATTGCCTCCAAATGGGAATGGGCTTGCCTCACCCATTCAAGCATACACTATAAACAAATGCAATTGTTACCAATACAGAATTATTGTAATTTATAAGGGGCAGCAAGTAGATAATTAACATTTCAATAACATTTTAAAAGCAGATGGAGACTGTTCAGATGGAATATACTTACCCTTTGGTATCTACTTTCTCACTACTATTATCTTTAGATTTATCTTCTTCTTTAATATCTAGATAGAAAAAAGAGTAGCAGAATTTGCAAAAACAGTATAAGTAGTTATATGATGAAGAAATAATCTTCATTCAGCTTAACAGGACTCCCAGGTAAGTAAATATAAGATTGCAGCTCACATAAAACTGAAACTGCACCTCAGAAATTAGCTATTAATTTCACAGTCAATTTACATGCATTGGGGGTAATCTAGAAAATATGACAGCTCACCTTAATATGTACTATTAACAGTATTACTAATTTTTTATGACTTCAGAAAAATCTACACACTTTTGGATCCTTCCTCTCGACCCAGGAAGGCAGCACTGCAGTTACTTTGGTTTAAGTCGTAAAATGTGAGCTTTAGCTGGCTATTATCATAAAAAGTTTTCTTCATCTAATCAGAGGAACATTGGAAGGGTTCAAAGGGAAGACAGAATTAAGTTTTGTAACCCAGTGGGGTTTTTCTTTTGAGCTACGTACATGACTGGAGGCCTGAAAGATAGCTTTTTTAAAAAAAAAATTTTTTGCACAGCTTTGCACATGCGACAACTCTCCAGGAAGCAGGTGAAACAGGATCTAAGACCATACTCTTATTTTTGCAAATATGAGCATAATTGTTTACATCTTTGTCTGAATGTGTGGTAGTTTAAGAGAACAGATAATGTGTCTCCATGCCTAGTCCAATTGTCTAGCTATTTATTCATTCAGTTGAACATTGGAAAGGAGCTATAATTATATGCAAAACAGATTACAAAATTTGCTTACCAGTGAATTTGGTATGTTTAGCTTAACAGAAAATATGTTTAATTTAGCATTGACTTACCTGCTTTTTTGTCTTCTGCCTCTTTCTTGTCTTCTTCTAAGCGTGCTTTCTTTGCCCCTTTCTTATGATCTGTAACATTTCTGCGTCCACCTTCTCCTTCATCTTCAGAATCAGAAAATTCTTCATCACAGGCTATCCTCTTATCAGAAGCACGAACTAGAATATGGAAATTTAAAAGAGATTATTCCAAGATTTTTCATACCTCTTCAAAATGTTACCTGATGACATAAAGGCTCTTCAGCAACGACACAGTATTTAACAACAACAAAAAAGCCATGGTAACCTGACACCTACTGATGTACATAAATTCAGCTGTCTTGTATTCAATTGTGCTGTTATAGTTTTTATGTTCAGGCTATCCCAGAAGTTCTGAACAAACTGAATGAATTTTAACACATTACTATTATTAATTGATAAGATACTTGTAATCTGTTCTCTCATGAAGCCTCATTTGCATAGCCACCCACCATCCCTATTTAAATGTTACACCAGTTAAAGCCATTCCATGCACCTGATGGAATAAGATGCAACTCATAAAGCTTATGTCTTATAATAAAATTTACTGATCTTAAAAGGTGCTACCAAACTCTAGATTTTGGGTTACCATGGAACAAATGTCTATAAAAGGAAACAAAATTGTTATGGGAATACATTTAAACCAGTCATGACATATCAGTAAAAAAGCAATTACTTATTTATATCAATCCACAAGCAATTACAAAGAAGCAACGTGACTTTTTCTTCAAAAAAGCAATTGCACTAGGATTGTCTTTTAATTATTTTCTCCTCAAAAACTGGAAGCAAAATCCAAAAATTCAAGGCCCACATTTTAAGCATTATCTATAAAATTTACTTACTAGAAATACGTTTGTCTGGATCTTCACCATCTTCATCACCACTGTCTTCATGAACAGCATCTTCTGGAATAGCTTGCATCTGCACACCAGGAGCATGGGGTAGCATGCGCAAGTTCTCAAATAAACGCTGCCTGCAAAGAAAGCAGTTTATTGTGAAATAACTTTGTTTTTGTCTTTGAAATTTTTAAGTATCGACAAAATTAGCTTTCTGATTGCAAGAAACTACTATAGAAAAATTGTATGGCAATAGGACTTCAAAGAATAGAAATTCACAGAAAAACATGACTAATGTAACAAATGTTTCTTCTGTAACCATAAAAACACCTGCATAAATGTTCACGCTATTTAAATACCAGCTTTGAACAATTATCCTGTTTTCAGTGTTCAATGTAAACTTACTGAAAATTGCTAATGTAACTTCATATTGATAACATATTCCAGTTTTCAAAATAGTATGTAACCTATGAACGTTAATGATAAAAAAGATTTCTTGAGACTTAGCAGAGTTTACTTTCTAAGCAACAATGATTTTAATACAGGTAGGCCTCAGTTTAGAATAGGAAAAGTGATTTTTTTTTTTTAGTTACTAAATGGGTAAACTGTCAGTTTTCATTTTCTATATTATTTAAGATTTCAGATATAATTAGAAAACCTAGTCCTTGCTTTCTATTATTATTGATAATTTAATAAAACATTTACAAATTTTCACAGCATTAATATCTTTACTAAAAATAGGACATTAATACTTACTTAATCTTTTCCATATATTCAGGAGTGTTCTGATTTGTCATGTTTGATGGGCTTATATGCAGTTTGAAATCTGGTCCAAAGTACTCAAAGTAATCGTTATATGGCAATTCTGTTAAAACGAAATTGAGATATAACATTTTTATCCTTGCTGAATTCCATAACAGGCGTATATTTGAAAGTATTACTATAAAATTTTCCAGTTATCAAAACAATAAATGCAATGATTTACTCTAAGAGAAACATAAATAAAAGATAGTATGGTTCAGAATTATGGTTTGATTCAAATAGTGTTATGTTAAGTACATGCAGAATACTTATATTCTGTAAAAGAAGAAAAATAGGGTTTGCACTGTCATAGGAGTCGTGTTTTTGACACCTAGAATTTTGGAATGTATTCATTTAAACACTAAGTACATGTATTCATTTAAAGCTGTGCAAGTACAATATAAGTAGGATACAAAAGTTCTACAAAAGAGATGTTTCCACACTTACATCTATTTTGAATTACTAAAGCTTGAAAGAATGAATCAGTATTGTGTACACTGGAAAAGACTTCAAATAATTCAATTAAAATAATTTACTTCAAAAATTTAAAATGTGTTTTATGCATAGTACCATACACAGTAAGTTGATATAAGCGTTTAAACATGCTGGAGTAAAAAAACTGGGAGGATAGCAGTGTTAATTCTGACTGAGGCATGGAAAACAGCCAGGTGACCAAGTCAGTCACTCCCTGAGAAAGAAGGCACTGACCAAACACATCTGAAAATGTCATCAAGAAAATTGGCCATTTCTATATACTGACTGGAAGGACTAAATAATTAATTTGAATCACTGTCTTAAGTTAAACAATTTATGAACATAATTACATACAAGGTTTTATGTGTTTTATTTATTTGCAATATTATTAAATTATTTTTAATAAGTATTATATTTATAAACTTGCATTTAAGAAACACCAGTTGAACTTTTATTTTTAAATAATTATTCAACCACAAGTAGAAACTTCAATAGGCAAGTAATAGTTACAAAAAGAATGTCTCTTTTAGTCAACAAAGGAATAATAGAATGATATAAGCCTTATGATAATATATATACACACACACATATCAAATATTAAGGATGCCTTTTAAACAGTGCAAAATCCACTGGATTCAAAAGGGGAAATAAAACATATTTATACTTACTTTGGGAACATATTATAAATATATATTATTTTAAGATATAACATCTCCCACTCCTTCAATAATAATAAAAAAATCCTTACACTATAATTGTAACAATTACAAGTTACAATTACACTGTATATTTTAGTGTATAGTATAAGCTGTACACTGTAAATTTAATGATGTTTCCAGAGAGTGAGATCCCTGAGAGCAAACAGACAACACAGATTAACAGAAGAGGTGGAAGAATAAGGAAGATGCAGGCAAAGTACTGTTTTTCCATAATATGACAGAGGTCAGTCCAACAAAACAGACCAGGCTGAAAATTAATACCACAAAGATCAGGACTACTTTTATTGTAACAGCTATAGTAACAGAATCTTGCAAGAATGAATCCCCTCACTTTATCTTTGTGCAAATTAGGAAGGGGCTTATTTGAGATGTTTTCTTGGCCCAGGCTCAAGATCCTCTTATATGGTCATTGCCTTGGTATCAGTTCTTCCTCTTGCCCTTCAAGGTCATTCCCATTTCCCTCTATAAAACATTACCAACATTATTCAAACCCACCAACTATTCATTCCTTTTGATTCATATGGGGACAAATGGTATGGCCAAAAGAGATCATGAAAGAATCTTTGGAGATTACAAAGCCTTCAGTTAGAAAATAAAGGAACTGGGAGTATAAATATTATTTTTGTCAGTATTTCCAATTGATGGTCGTGGCCCAAGAAGAGGACAAGATTCTGGAAGGTAATAACTAGCTACAGAGATGATGTTTGGATTCTACAATAATAGTGTATGTTACTTTCATGAAGGACTCAGGGGAAGAGATGAACTTAGGAAGTTATGGGAAGGGTAACTTTAAAGGGTACCTTACGGTCCCTTTCCGGACAGCATGAATCAAAACAAAAATGTTGAGCATAGCAAAAACCAAGAATCAAATATGCCACCATGTTTTGGAGCCAAGAAACCGAAACATAGAGGAAGAAGCAGGGGTAGAATTGGGTCTGAAGAACTTTGCAGAAAATTAGTACTGTAGGGCTTTTGGGTGGTGCAGTATTCCTGCTGGAATCAGGAATTTGTTAAGGCAGAGAAAAGTCTAAGTGACTTATATTAATTATAACTTTAGATTATTAAGCAATCTGTACTTTTTAGTATAATATTTACCATTAGGAATTTCGCAGTCTAAGGCTACAGCAGTCTCATATGTCCAACATCGAGCAACATTGCGTATGGTATAGCCACCTCCTCCAAGCATCAAAAGAGGCAAGTTGAAAGTCTTTACAACTTCCACACATTTGGCATGACCTGCCAGAATCATAGACATTTAAAAAGGAAACATGCAGTTATAAAAGACACACATATTTAATATGAAGATTACCAAATAAGGATTTTCTATATTGAGAACTCATAACTAAACAAAGTATATCTGAAATGATAGAAGAATAAAGTGGGGTGAAGCATATAGTACTTCAGTTTTAAATTCCAGATAATTTATTGATCTTAAGGAAAATTAAGATGATCAATACTGTTATGATTACCCAAAATGTTTTAAGGTGTTTTGCATTAATGCACTGAGCTACCTGTATGTAAATTGTTTTCCAGATTTTAAAAAAGGCACATAAGTGCCCACAATTAAGTGTAACTAATGAACGATTCTCTAAGAACTATGTTCCATTAATGGAAAAACTGGTTAAGCATCAGCAACTTTATATAACATAATGCTATATTTAAGGAAAGGCTGAAAGACAATCCATAAATCAGGTCATTGTTTGAGATATTTCCTTTCTTTAAAAAAACAACAGAATGACCACAGATGGCAAAACAGCAGTGGGAGCAGGCGCAATTCCATCTTTCAGTTGGCTTTCTAACAGACTTTCCTCGTTGGAAGCTGGCAGGGAGTGTCAGAAATGTGACTACAAGCAGCTCAGTAACATAGCAGTAGTAAAGTGCCCACAACTTTGCCAAATTTCAATCTCTTGAGAGCCACGGGTCATGGATTTTGGACACATTCTGGGTGTTGATTCAAAATCTGTTGCCCTATCACACAGTGTTTTACCCAATTAAAGTTTATAAACAATCACATAGACACAAGAGTCTTAGTAGTATACTAGACAGCCTGTGCCCTGTTGGGTCATCATTTCAGAGACATTTTCTTAACTAAACAGAGAAACAGAATGACCATGATGGGTGGGCAAAACAGCAGTGGGTATGGGAATTATTTCCATCCAGGTTCCCCATTGAGCTTCCTTGTGGGAAGCTCCCTCCCCCCCCCCCATTTCCAGAATTCTGGACAGCTTATTTTGCTTGTGGGAAGGTTGCAGAGAGGTGAAACAGTACGAACACTGGGGAAGCCAGAAAAAAAATGCAAATCTAAAGCCAGTAGGCAGGTAAGTGTCACAGAATATTGTGTACATGACTGCAGCAGCCAAAATTTCCCTAAATTTCATTCAGTCATGTATCCTAGATTTCAGATGCATTCTGTAAATTAGCCCATTTAAAATAACTTGGTTCAAAATGGTTGCCCTATGATGCACCATTTTGCCCAGTTAAATATTATGGAAACAAGGGTTTTAGTAGCATATACATTCTTCTGCATGTTTATGTATATCTATTTCTTCACATGCCATTTGATAAGCAAGGCTATCATATGTTAAAATGCTAAAATGAAACAACTTTTTAAGTTATTCCTTCAACTGCCTACTGTGTACAAGAAAGTACATACTTGACCAAATGTCAATAACAGGCATTTGAAGTTTTAGAAGGTGATACAAATTTTCTTAGAGGACCCTTTAATTTATATACAACACATCACAATTTAACCATAAGTTATTTAATTACTATTTTTACTTCAGCATGAATAAATACTTTGATGGTTATATATAAATTGCTACATAAGCATTACAAAATACAGCTAAAATAAAAGAAAAATGTCTGAGATTGTTTAGAATTGGAAATCCATTGTAAGTCATAAAGCTGAATTCTTCAGCGAATTAAAGCTCATAAAACACTTCCACCAAAAATTTCTAATGTTTTCAATAATATGAAGCTGTAATGCTTCTGTAATGTTTTGTTCCCTTACCTTTAACAGTAAGATTAAAACATCCCAGTCGATCACCAGAGAGTGAATCGGCCCCACATTGCAATACTACTGCACTAGGTTGGTACATTTCCATCACTTTAGATATAATCTACAAAAAAGCAGGAATGATAGTAAACCTTTTGTTTACTACTACAATACCTATTTTAAAAGGTGTTTAGAATGTACTCACTGGTGACTTCTGGTTTGAAGGGCTTCGGCGACAGACAGGAATCCGCGATCATGTGCGGTTTCTGCCTGGGCTCGCCGTTGGAGCGCCCCGAGCCGGCTAGTTTCGGGGCTAAGCCACCCCGTAGAGGTGGTGAAGAAGGGGGAGACCGCCAGCAGGGTCGAGGAGAGCCGCATCTCTCCTCCTCAGCTGGACATTACTCCCTTTCCCGAAGGCGGTAGGAGCGGTGGTCAGAAATGGCCACCTCAAAGAAGAGCTCAACCGGAAAAGAAAGTGCAGGAGGAAGATAAGAAGTGAAAGTTTTGGCTGAGCGGGCTAAGTTGAAAAAGCAACAACTAAGATACCCTGGAATTTAAATTTTACAAGAAATAACATCGCTCCCAAAGAAGAGTCGGAAGCAGCGAAAGAAAGTGAAAAGGGAAAGGTTTGGCTTTCCCCCCCCTCTCTCTCCTTCCTTATATTGACAACTAAGAGACCTAAATAAGAAATTGGAAAAATCCACTTTGGCTTCAATAGGCAATTAAGTTGAAAATATAACTAAATGCCAAAGGGATAATAAAGATTTCTGGACATTTAAAACTTTTTCTTCTATAAGCAGGAAGGGAGAAAAAGAATAAGGGCAGGATCTGGATCTGGAAGAAGGAGGAGACTGCCTGGACTTTAAAAGAATCTAAAGTTAAATTCTAACAAGACTTCTAAAAGATACATTTTAACTGAAACTTTGCAACTAAATAGTAACCCCGGAAGAGAAAGTGGAAAAAAAGAAAGAGCAAAAAGAAACAGCTTGTGTGTATTTGGAGTACTTGGTGACTTTTGGATTTTTGGTTATTATATTTGAATGACTAAAATTAATCGGGTGGTTGTTTAAAAATTTCTACAATGGCATCACTTTTGGATGAATTGAAAATGGAACTTAAAAAGTACAAAGAAGATGCACAAGAAGGGAAGGGTTCTTTTGGCTTAGTTTTTCAATTCTTAGAAATGGAGATCTGGAACTATGAGAAACAACAAGAAAAGACTGCAAAACAAGAAGACTGGGACAAAGAAGAAGCCATCTTTAATGAACAAGTAACTTTACGTGGGGAAGAAAAAGGAAAGGGGGGAAAGAGGACGGAGAATTTAAGATTTAAAAAAACAACCAAAGAAAATAAAAATAATTTGAAAAATAAGTATAATATTGGAAAGCAACAGAAAAGGGGAATACAGAAGAGGGAAATTGAGAGAGAGACAAGGGGGTAAAAAGGGGAGAGAGAAGAAGAGAGGGAAGAAGGAAAGGAAAAGAAGTTACAAAGGTCTGGAGCAAGATATAAAGAAACAGGACCTATTTAGAGATAATGGGTGAAAATTTAACTGAAAAAGGGATTCTGTAAAGGCACATAAGATTGTATTGTTATATTTGTAATAGAAATAATTTTAGAAAATTTTAAACAACATATGATTAGAATGAGGGATAAAATAGTTACTGTAATTTAGTGAAATGTTTGTGAATAAAGTAAATGAAATAAAATAAATGATAAAATTGAATCAGGAAGGAATGGGAACATTTTAATTAGTCAATGTCTTATAAAATATAAGTGAAGAGGGTTCCCATAGAAGTATATCTAATTGAAAAGTAACATGAAAAATGTTAAGACTTTAATGAATATTAATATGATAAAATTGAATTGGAATGGAATGTTGTTTCAATTATATACATTTATAACTTTTTCTTTTTCTTTCTTTTTTAAGAATACTGTGTGTAGTTTAAGAATGTACCAAGCAGAATCCGAATGGAAGTTATGTATTATAGTGAGTGTTATAATTTTAGGGGAAAGATATAAAGACGTCATACTCCAATCAGTAACTACAGGAGAAATTTTGTATAATGAGAAAAGATGATAGACAATTGAAACAGGACAGACAAAAATATAAATATAATGATTTGAATTGAGATGAAATAAATAAAATAAAATATAATTGAGAAAATTAAGAGAGGGAAGAAGCCATGTAGAAAATGTAAAATAGTAATAAGATATGGAATAGAATATAAAAATGAGCATGAACTTGAATTTGTGTCTGTACGAAGAAATGTAACCCGGGATTATGCTGCTTTCAAAAAAGATGTTTTATTTGTATTTCTTTTTGTGAAAACTCAAATAAAATTTACACACACAAAAAAAGAATGTACTCACTGGTTTAAATATTTGTCCATATGACTCATCATCTATTCCATCTCTCATTGGAAAGTTAACTGCATAGTATTTGCCTTTTCCAGCTCCGATGTCCTATAAGAAAAACACAAACAGAAGGTATTGCACATCAGTAGCCAAGGAGAGAAAACAACATGGTATGCTGCATTTAATTCCAGATCAACATTGGCCATTACAAGTGATTTAAAAATGTTGCTTCTATATTGTAGCATGTGAGAAATATTAAGTAGAAAATAAACACAATGTATACCACAGAGGTATCAAACATATTTTACATGAATTTTTTTCATACACTATAAAGCATTTGATTTGTGCAATAGAAAAAATGTACAAAAGAAATATGTTCAGAGAAACAGGCTATAGACATGTGACAATACAGAAGAATCAGACCCAGAAGCAAAATTAGGATGCAATTTATCTCAGCAAAGCATGATTTGGAATCACTGTACAGGCAAATACAGTGTCTTTCACCAGGAATGAGGATTGCTTAAAATGCAGATATTCAGGCAGTTTAGATTTTATAAAACCAATTACCTGGGGTCTGCTCTGTCAGATCCGTAAAATCACATGCTATTTTATCTACAAGAAATGTGCCACATTCCACTAAGCAAAAGACACAAAAATAATATTCTTTTATGTTCATTCCTTTGTATTTTTATATAAATTCTAAATAAATCCTTCATTCAGTAATTTTAACAACTGCACTTCTTTAAACAATGGGTACTATTCGTATTCACCAGAATGAAGTTACTCTTTATTTCCAGTGGAAATAACTTGTAATGCAAAAACAACGGAGTGTACCCAGAATGATCAACTTCTCAAAAATCTTTGTTTTGAACATAATTGTCCCACATCCAACATTTCCTTTTTTTTTTTCAATGTAAGTTATTGAAAAAATTGAAAAGAGTCCTCTAGAGGAAACAGATCATTTGGACTTCTTCCATCTGGATTCAGGCTAGGCCCTATGAATTTGGCTGCTTTGGTGGCTGATGTTTGCTGTGACCTAGATGGAGGAAGTGCAACCTTTCAGATCTTGTTCAACTTCTTAATGGTATCACACTGTCAACTAACCCATTTTTGATAGGCATTCAATAGTATTATACTCGTAATCATGTGATTTCTTCTCAAAATCACCTGTGTTTAGCATGAAGCAATAGTACCACCTTGTGGTAAAACAGGTTGAAAAAAGTTTCTTACAGTTATTAAACTATTGTATTTAATTCCTATTAAAAAGCTAAAAGGAATGGAATTCCACCTTTAAAAAGATAAATTGGTATTAGTGTAAACATCAAGTCCATTATTAGTCTTAACATTTAATGACATCAAAAATCACCTGGTTTCTCTAATCTCAGAACACAGCCCTATTGATACTAAAGATTCAGCCAACCTGCAATTGGCAAAATAAGAATGTGCCAATTTTTTTCACAACTACCAAGAAACTCTGAAGCAATAAAAATTATCTCTGTTTTCTTAGCTGTTATAGTTTAGAGACACAAGCTTATGCACCCATATATATTATTATAGGTAGTTGTTCTACTCAGAAAACTTGATCATAACCAGATTTATTATGTCTATTGCATTTATATTTTGACTTTCTTCTACAATTTTTAACATTATGTACATGGGCTTTGCCCCAATGCCCTTTCAAGTCAACCAATCAGCTTTCTGATCAAATGGGGACTTGAACTGAAGTCTCCTTAGTCTCCAACAATTTAAAACACTATACTGGCCCAACATTATTAGTATAGTATAGCATTACATAAGAACACAGCCATTGTAGTTTGTTCATCAAAACAGTGCTTAAAACATGATTTCTTGCAATGTGTTAAGTTTTTTGTGAAGCATTTTTACTTGTTATTCTTTTAAGGTTTTTTAAAGCAGTATATTCAAAGGAGGCATTTTGTTTTTCAATGTGGGATACTAAAAAAATAATAGCCAAGCATTGGCCTAGACTCAAATGTGTTTAATGGATTCTAGTGATACAGTAACATTTGTCATGGATACATCCTTAAATAATTATGAATTAAATTGTGTTTTGACACTGGATTATCTGAATTAATAATAGACCTTTGTTTTTTCCTGTATTCTGCCTTCTCTATTAAGCTCAAATTTCTATAGTTCCTTTATAGTAACAACTGCTGTACAATGTAGCATTATCTCCAATAAAACAATACCCATTATACAACACAGTGAGTGTATTTATTCATGTTTTATAGGAACAAAATAAAGGCATATAATTTTTAATGCTAAATGTTATGTTTGCTGTCATATTAATCCTTGTAAATGAAGCAACGTATAGTTCAATTATAATTATTGAGAAATCTTAAAGACATCTTGGTGTCTATTGGTTTTGACTAGCCATTTTTAGGTTTTCTGGATATTTATCTTGCAAGTGAAAATGGAGTCCAGATACTAGATTGGAAGAACTTCACAATCACTCTAGATCAGTGATGGTGAACCTTTTTGGCACCAAGTGCCAAAAGGGAGTGCACGGTTTGCGTGCACATTGGGGACGTGACCTGGAAGAGAAGTTGCCCAGGGGGCATGCGCACACCGGGAAATTAACTTCCAGTTTCCAGCGCAAGTCTTCCCCTTACTGGCACATGTGACAATCAGCTGCACAACAGAAACTGGAAGACTAGCTCTTCCAGTTTTCGGCACTGCCCTACACACGAAGGACAGCTGATCATCGTGCATGCATGTGCGCCAGAAACCTGGAAGAGGAACGGATGACTCCACACATGGCAGCCGACATGGCTCCGCGTGCCACTTTGGGCACGTATACCATAGGTTCCCCATCATGGCTCTAGATGCTAAAATGACTTATTTAAAACATTAGTACCCTTCAGATGCGACATCTAATATAAAAAATGTAATTACTTTCAAAACATTACAGTACCTCTCCCACAAATGAACAAAAATAAGCATCTGGATTTACATTAATGTAGACCAATATCATATTAATGTAAATCTATTTAAATCCTGATGAATTTTAAATGAACTTAATGGAAAAGATGGACAGAAATTAATAACTAGTTTAACTTGAGAATGAGACTGAAGAATAGCATTTCTAAAATATTATCTTAATTAAATAAGCTTATAACTGAACTTACCCTTAAATCTCCTGTTCCAGGGAAATATTCACCGTATTTATGGAATGATACTGTCATAACTCGATCTGTGGTATAAAAAGCTTCTTCAACACCATCACCATGATGGATATCAATATCAATGTAAAGAACTCTTTGATGATATCTGGGCACAAAAGAAAAAAAGAGTAAAGCAATAGAAAAAAATCTCACTACTCTTCTTCAGAGGAAAATGTAAGCTAGAAAAATTCTTGATTTTGTTTTCCATCCCAGATTTAACCAATTACCTTTAATATGCAGATTTAAGTTCCACAATACAATCATATTTTATCCTTGATGCAACTCCAGTAATATTAGAACATTTCCAAATATTAGCCTAGATGATGGTGTAGAATGCAGTACTGTATATGCAATGTTATATGCATATTTATTATATAATATGGAGTTCACAATGCATAACTATATTGACAATTGCATGTTAAGATTGCAAAAGTACAATTACGTACTGTTCCTATTTTAACTGTGTGATATGCCTATTTTAGGTTTATGTTATAGTTTTTATATTTCCACTTTAAAGTTGAAGGAAGTTGTGCTATCAATTGTTGGCAGTCCTTGTGAAAGAGTCCTTTTTTCTTTAGGAAAAAAAAGAATAAAGTGCTTCAGGTCATCTGCAATGATACTTGTTTCTAATTTACAACCACCACCAATCATCATGGTGGAAAATATCTTGTTTCAGATAATGATTTATTTCTTTATCCCTTGATTTAACCCAAGATAATGGACTTAATTTTATCGGTAATCAGGATTGCCAACTAATTATTGGCACATCAGTCTCTTAAATGTAATTAGCAAGCTTTATGTCAAGCATGTATAAATTCAACTCTCAACTGGCCAATATGCTGGCTGAAAATATAGGCAAATTTTAGAAGTTATACATCAAGTTATAGCATTACTTTGAAAAATATATATCAAGTCAAAATTAGCGCAATATTTTATTGATATTAAGCTTGATTGAGCCGTGGTGGTGTAGTGGTTAGAGTGCAATATTGCAGGCTACTTTTGCTGACTGCTGATTGCCAGCAGTTTGGTACTTCAAGTCCCACCGGCTCAAGGTTGACTCAGCCTTCTATCCTTCCAAGGTCGGTAAAATGAGGACCCAGATTGTTGGAGCAATATGACTCTGTAAATTGCTTAGAGAGGGCTGTAAAGCACTGTAAAGTGATATATGAGTCTAAGTGCCATTGCCATTGCTATTTCATTTTATTTCCACATTTTAAATTGTAGTACAAATTAAAAACTATAGTTTAAATATATGTTTTCTCTGTGAGCTGGCATGATTTAAGTGGAGTCCAATGCATGCTTATGTACTGTTTTAAATTGGTTATAGCTACTACTTTTTACTTTGTGTAAGACTTCTGATATTGGTTAATAGTTTTCAGTTGATTTGAAGAAGATTGCTTTATTAGAAATTGCTTTTCACAAGGTACTTTTACAAGCAGGTTTATCAGCTCTTAAATAAAATGTTGTCTACAGAAAAAGGCAATTCAATCTGTCTGCCTTGGAGATATGTTTCTGACTCCCCCTTTTTATAGCCAGCAAAATATTTAAATAAAAATTCATAACCAATTTCAGAACAGAATTAACTTAACACATTTTGACACATTCTGAATGGCTGTTTTTGAGGGAAAATTCAGAAAATATAAATAAAAACTCTATACTTGTGATGAAAGGCAATTGAAAATATGGTAAATGTTTCCTGCTATCCATTTTATAAATCCCCACAGCTATCTTTTGTAATTTTCTTTATAACTAATTTTTCAGGACATTCACATACATCTTTCATACGGCTGCTATTAGCTAACTGATGTGACTAAATTTGAATGTGGCCAAGTTCTATTTTATTATTTCTAAAATTTATTTAGACTGAATCATGCTGTAAGTTGTTTTATTTGTAAGTTGTTTTTTGTTTTTTTTTAAAAAAAGTTTAGTTTGTATTATTTTTGGCATTTAATAGACCGTTGCACCAATGAGTGCAATAAAGGCTGTTTGGTACTATACATATACCCTTGTATTTGTGTTTCCCTTTTAATGTTATTATTTTTGGATATTTTATACATGAGTTAATAACATTAAAAAAAAATCTACCAAAACTTTGGAAATGCAGGTTTGGCAAATTCTCCTATCAAGTTTGGGGAAGGCACTGGATAAAAATTCTCCTTCCACAAGATTCATTTGTGTGTGTGTGTGTGTGTGTGTGTGTGTGTAATTCAAAATGTAGCAATACATTTTAACATTAATTCACTATTTAATTTTTTTTCTTATTCTTAAAGTGGAAACTACTTTCTTGAATTCTGTAGACAAAAATGCTACATATGACAGAAAAGTATATCCATATTATTTCTGCATGTAGCTATGACAAATCTTACCATAATTGCTGCCCCTCCTTATATCATATTCCCAAGCCATACAACTTGTAAACATTCTGCAAATTATTTTTTAAAATTAATGAATTTAAATTAAGTAGTCCCACTTTTTTTTGCAGATACAACACTCTTTTTTCTCCTAATCACACTAGTAACATATTTGGCAGCAAAATACTGATTTTCAAAGGCATGAATTTTGCAGAACATTATAAGAGTGATAGTGAAAATAAGGTAATGTACATGAAGCCCCTCTATATGTAAACCCTATTTCTTTACCTTTTACTTTCTTTTTACTTCCTTTTGTATTTTCTTTCTCTCTTCCTTAACTTCAATCTGCTTGCTGCATGCAATTAGGTCTTCTGTGAATCTCAATTTTCCTTGTTATATTTTTTGTTTAAATGTATATATTCTTTACAACATTTGACTTTAAAATTTAGCCTTGTTGCTATGATGCTTCCCAAAAAAGCCACTGCTTTAATGTGAAGCTGCTGATATTTTAATTATGCAATACCAATTAATCTTTCTATTTTTTTGGAAGAGAAGATAAATGTGCATATCTACATTTACACATAAACTCTTTTTAAGCTTCAATTTCTGGTTATGGGTAATTTCATCTTAATATGGTGCCCATGAATATATTTTTAAGATCCTGAAAAAGTACTGTTTAAATATACACCTACACATCTGTGTTTATGACCATGTGTGAAATTGGTAAGAGTTTAAGCATAGGCTGATAATTGAATGGATAACTTGTAAATTCCACCTTTATTATGATTGCTCTACTTGTTATGATAATATTCATTCATAATCTTAGATTTAAGAAACTGGACTTTCCCCACTTGTATTTGTTAACCCAAAATAAGTAAAATAGCTATTTTAAATTAATTTACACCTTAATTTTATAGTAACATAATTTTGCATTTTTATATGAGACTGAAATAAACAGACTTAGCCAATTTTGTTTGTGTTATGAATTCATCAATAAATTATTAGTGAAAATGATAACACCAAGTGCACAGATACACTGAAAGACTTTACAGACATCAAAAAAATCTGAAACTAAATGTAGCTATTAAAATATTAAAATTGTAATAAAGCTATTATAATAAATTGGACCAAACCATAATAAACTGATCTAAAGGTATAACGATTATCTATACTTTAAAAAAACATTCATGTCAATAAAAGCATTAATAAGAATCATATACTGTGAAAAACTATAGCTATCACATGACTGGAGATACAGGCTTCTTATAACTGTTCTTTCACTTTTACTAATTATAAGATTACAATCAGATAGTTTTGGAGTAGAACATGATATTTTTAAATTAAATTATTTAGAAAGAATGCATAAAGGGGAACTCATGTTACCAAAAAACCCTTTCCTAACTCTGCTATTTCTTTTTTCAACATACTCACTTTCAATGCAACGCTCATATTTTCAACTTATTTACTGGGTAAGTTATGTATATAACCATACCAAAAACTTACTTCAGTAACTCAAGAATGGCAAGTACAATATCATTGACATAACAGAAACCAGATGCCTCTGATTTCTTAGCATGATGAAGTCCTCCTGCCCAATTAACAGCCATATCTGTTTGTTGTCTATTCAATTTTACTGCTCCAGCTAAAGAAACATTATGAGAAAATGCAGTTAAAATATTTTGCAGAAATTAAAGACAAGATATAGTACCTAACAAGAAAAACAAGTGTTTCACAATTCTGTTCTGGTTTGAATTTCAACAGGTTTTTTTAAAGCACTTCTGCTGCTGTGTTGCAAATCACAGATTGTGGTTCAACTACCACAATTGAAACCAGTAACTCCATCGTTAAGCAATGAGGTCATTAAATGAAACATTACTTGACTGCCCTACTTAAAAATGACAGAATCCCATGTAGCTGTTAGGCAAGGATCCAACTTGATTCTCATTTTGGTTTCATTCAGCCCCAAGCCTTAATTCTTCCAACCCTCTTCAACTCCCCACCACTGTCAATCCCCACCCCTCAAAAAATATCTCTGTCTTTTTGTCTGTCTTGCAAAGTGATACTATTCAGAAGCATGAATTGGGACAGCCTGCTGCTACTGCCTCTGAGCGTCTACTTCTACTGAGGAGTGCTACCTCAAGCCCCATTGCCACTGCATTTAGTCTCATTGATACAGTGAGGACAGATGCCCCAGCCTATAGTCTTCCATCCCATGAAGTCCCTTTGCCATACAGGAAGAACATGCCAATCACACTAACAGGGAGAAAGGTCAGCTGGGAGTGCTAGTCATAAATACGAACATGCTTGAATTTTAATCACGTGACCAGGGCTGGGCTGTGATGGTTGTAAGTTTGAGGGCAAAAAGTCCATTTTTTCAACACCATTGTAACTCCAGTTAGTGAAAAAATGGATGTAAAAGGACTCCTGTAATACATTCAGTATGTCACTTTTAATAATGCTTTTTATTTATTCTACTGTCTTATTTTACATTTGTATTAATTTTATCTCACTTAGCAATAAAAGCACCATTCCATTACCTATATTTTTGCCAAAAGTTCAATGTGAAAATACCTTAATGTGAATAGAAGTGAACACATGGACTACAAGCAACACTAAGGTTTAATTTAATGACCTCAGAGTTTTGCAACATTGTGCAGTTAAAAAGTATTGGCCAGATTGCCAAACTTCAGCAATGTAATTGCCTCACAGAAGACAAAAGAAATAAGGTAATGTAGTAGCTTAGCACTGCAAAAATGGCAAACTAAAAACAAGCCAACAAGTAAAATTAAAAGGGTGAGTTATTTCTGTTTATAAAGATGCTATCAAAAAATACATAATGATTTTAAAAATCTCCCCAACACAGAAAATGAAAAGATATCTAAAGTAACACTGTTAGTGCTACTTAATTGACAAAACTTTGAAAAACCAGTAAGAAAAAGAATTAAGGATAATAAACTTACCTACAGAGCCTCCTGTTGACAGCTGACAGAACTCAAACAGTCCATCAAACACAGGACAATCTTCCCCAACATTAACTAATAAAGAAAACTTTCATTAATCATTTAAAGTTCTCTCTCAAGGTACATGTACATACTTTAGGTTTGTTTTGCTAATAATTTTTGACATTAAGAAACTAAAAAAAACAAATACTAATATTCCAAGTGAGGTCCATTTATTATAGAAGTTAATTTTGTTTTGCAATTTCATTTCACTATAGATGCTGCACCTGTTGATTACCTTGCTCTAACAAACTTAATATATTCACATCAGAAGTTAAAAGAACTGTGGCTTTCCTCCTTTGATACATATAATAATCCTAAACTGTAGAGCAGAAATCTTCATTTTAAACTAGTATAGTTTCATGCATTTGAAACTTCATCATTAAAAAAAGATTCAAACTAATGCTGCTAAATCTCATAGTGTTGCCCTTTATTTATTATATCCTTTCCTGTTCATGCTGGTGCTAAGCAAATAACTATATGACTAAAGGAAATAATTGCTTTCTGCCTCTGTTAATGGTGTTAGAAGCAATATGGTTATTCCAACAGAAGTGCATTGCTACTTCAAAATTCATTTTAACTAGAGAAAAAGCTTTGAATCCCAACAGAAAGGAACAACTGAATAACTTTCAGTACTTCAATTCTACAGAATGGTAATTAGGAACATTTTGTTTGAACAAAGTTTTGATTATTCTCCATATAACAGGCAATTAAAGAAATAAAACTATTGAAAATGCTAACAATTACTACAAAATCCAATAAGTAATAAAATATTTTGTAATTTTCTTCCTTAAATCAATTCTGTAATGTTGAAGAAAAATTAACTGCTTTAGAAATAGTGCTCAGATTTTCTTTGTATGCAAGACATAGCATTTCTTATGATATTCTTTTATTTAAAATCAATGGGAGACTTACATCTCTGCATTTGTTTGCTGTATTCAGACATATTGTCAGGTCTTATTGAACGAAGAAATTTGATGTATTCATCGCTGTGGTATTTAGTCATTTCTTCTGCTGTAGCTTTGTGGGGACGCTAATAAGCAACAAGATTGACATGGCTGAACTACAGGAAAAGAGCTAGCAGTATTTTAAGTAAATTTCATCACACATTAAACTGACTCAAAAAAGAAGATAATTTCAATTTTGTCCTTGCCACATAAGTATAATAGTTGCTGCATATATTTTATAATATAGTAGAAAGTAAGTATGGATTAAATGCAAAGTATTTTTGATCATAAAAGAAAACATACACTGCTCCAAAAAATAAAGGGAACACAAAAATAAGCATCCTAGATCTGAATGAATGAAATATTCTTATTAAATACTTTGTTCATTACATAGTTGAATGTGCTGACAACAAAATCACACAAAAATTATCAATGGAAATCAAATTTAGCAATCCATGGAGGTCTGGATTTGGAGTTACACTCAAAATTAAAGTGGAAAAAAACACTACAGGCTGATCCAACTTTGATGTAATGTCCTTAAAACAAGTCAAAATGAGGCTCAGTAGTGTGTGTGGCCTCCACGTGCCTGTATGACCTCCCTACAATGCCTGGGCATGGCTCCTGATGAGGTGGCGGATGGTCTCCTGAGGGATCTCCTCCCACACCTGGACTAAAGCATCCCACAACTCCTGGACAGTCTGTGGTACAATGTGGCGTTGGTGGATAGACCGAGACATGATGTCCCAGATGTGCTCAATTGGATTCAGGTCTGGGGAACGGGCGGGCCAGTCCGTAGCATCAATGCCTCCGTCTTGCAGGAACGGCTGACACACTCCAGCCACATGAGGTCTAGCATTGTTGTGCATTAGGAGGAACTCAGGACCAACCGCACCAACATATGGCCTCACAAGGGGTCTGAGGATCTCATCTCAGTACCTAATGGCAGTCAGGCTACCTCTGGCGAGTGCATGGAGGGCTCTGCGGCCCCCTAAAGAAATGCCACCCCACACCATTACTGACCCACTGCCAAACCGGTCATGCTGGAGGATGTTGCAGGCAGCAGAATGTTCTCCACAGCATCTCCAGACCCTGTCACGTCTGTCACATGTGCTCAGTGTGAACCTGCTTTCATCTGTAAAGAGCCAGTGGCTAATTTGCCAATTTTGGTGTTCTCTGGCAAATGCCAAACGTCCTGCACGGTGTTGGGCTGTAAGCAAAACCCCCACCTGTGGACATCGGGCCCTCATGGAGTCTGTTTCTGACCATTTGAGCAGCCACATGCACATTTGTGGCCCGCTGGAGGTCATTTTGCAGGGCTCTGGCAGTGCTCCTCCTGTCCCTCCTTGCACAAAGGTGGAGGTAGCTGGGTTGTTGCTCTCCTACGGCTTCCTCCACATCTCCTGATGTACTGGCCTGTCTCCTGGTAGCACTTCCATGCTCTGGACACTACGATGACAGACACAGCAAACCTTCTTGCCACAGCTCGCATTGATGTGCTATCCTGGATGAGCTGCACTACCTGAGCCACTTGTGTGGGTTGTAGACTCCGTCTCATGCTACCACTAGAGTGAAAACACCACCAGCATTCCAAAGTGACCAAACCATCAGCCAGAAAGCATAGGAACTGAGAAGTGGTCTGTGGTCACCACCTGCAGAACCACTCCTTTATTGGGGATGTCTTGCTAACTGCCTATGCTTTCCACCTGTTGTCTATTCCATTTGCACAAAAGCATGTGAAATTGATTGTCAATCAGTGCTGCTACCTAAGTGGACAGTTTGATTTCACAGAAGTGTGATTGACTTGGAGTTACATTGTGTTGTTTAAGTGTTCCCTTTATTTTTTTGAGCAGTGTATATTGTATCAAGTATATATCAAATAATTAAAATCAAGTTTTAGAGAACAAGGCGATGAAGTCCCTAGGAAAAAAAAATCATTCTACTTTCTCCAGCATAAAGAAAATCATTCCATGAAGTGTACAACCTACAATTATCTCCTGCATTGCCTTGCATAGGATGCCATTACCTTTTCAAGGTGAAGCTGGGAGTTTTTTTTCCAAGCCCATTTTGACTCATTCAACATGGAGCACCTTCATCTGCCCTGCCCCATCAAGAAAAGTATAAAATGTCCAGGTATAGCTGCTTTTGAGGGCCTTTTAAATGCCTGTGTTCATGTCCTACAAGAACAAAGGCTAATATCCATATTTTCTTTCTCTCCAGAATTCATGCTGCTACACAGCACAACTCTTATGAGCAGAGTTCTGACAATTTTGGGTGCCTCTTTTCTTTCCCTGTCAGAGAGGGTGCAGGGTAGCTGAGATGAACTTTACCTATAGTGTTCACCTGAAGCATTGTGGCAGGACAGATCACATGAGTTTGAAATCTATGTTCCAGCAGGTCACAGATTTCTTATTTTGACGTGATATCTAAAAAACACTTCGTGTCTCCACAATAAAGTATAGTGTTGCATGGAGTTTAAAATTTGAAGATGTACAACTATTATTTAAAGGGCTATATTCTTCTCACTGATCAATTTTTAAGTGATAGCAATAAATTCATACTTACATAGATTTCCATTTTTCTGTACAAGCCATAATTTAACAATAAATTATGTGTCATACGGATTCTGTGAGGCTTCATTGGGTGACCCTGGCCATAATAATAGTTTCCAATGTCACCTAGAACCAAAAAAACAACAACAGTCCTATTATTACTTTTTTCTAGCTTTAAGTTTTATGATACATTCACCAGTCATCTCTTGTGTATCACTTCATTAGTGAACATTCTTTAAAACAAAACTAAAAACCCACTGGGGTTTGGAAGCCTTCAGAATTTATGCAGAAATGCAAACATTGCAACTCATTTACATATTCTTGACACTGGAAGAAACAGTGATAGCTACCAATAATTGATGGTTTAACTGTGTTTGAAACAGAATTATGGCACAAGTTATGTTACTACTTGCTGCCATCCCCATCTTAATGCAGACTAAAGCTACAAAACTTACATAACATGTTCTTGACATTCCCAAAGAATCATACTTTCGTCTACATTCTGAAAATGCCCATGGAATAATTTATCTCTAGTGCAAAGCTGATAAATGAGCTGTGTGATCTGCATGTGCAAAATATTATTTGAACCTAAGGCAAAATATTAATCCTGGTAATATTAGTCTCATCTCATATTCAAAACAGGTATGTTTAACAAAAGCCGTAAACTGCATTTAATTTCTTCAATTAAACAATAAACATATTAAACAATAAATTGATGAAATATACTATTATCCTTTTAATTCTTAAGCCCTAATCAATAGAGTAATAGAGATCAATTCATAATTGATCTCAATTTATAATCTCAATCAATTCATAATCAATTCATAATTGATCGTTTAACAAGCGTTTGCAGCCACCATAGTTTCAGAACAGGTCCTTTATAGCCTGTAAAGCATTTACAGTCTTCAGGCAGTCCTTGATATATGAACACAATTGGGACTGGAATTTCAGTCACTATGCAGTGGAATAGTTAAATGAGTCACCATGTGACTGGAGCCATTTACAATCATTCTTACTGTGGTCATTAAGCAAACCAGGCTTCTCCTTTGATATTGCTTGTTAAGACGACAGCTGGGGAAGATCACAAATGGTTGCATGTATCAAGACTGATGATGGTGGTGGTGCAACAGTCATAACTTTAGGGGCAGATTGCAAGTCATCTTTTTCAATGCCATCATAAACTCCACACTGTCATTAAATGAATAGTCGTAAGTCAAGAACTAGGTGTATTGCATTTGCAAATTTTTGCTCAGTGATTTGCATGGAATTATTGGTTTTAAATGCCTACCAAGCATTTATCTAGAATTTAAGCTAATGCATTTATCCATTCATTCTAAGTTCTTTAAACAAAACAGTGATTTTTAAGTAAAGACAACAATAAAACTGTTTTGTTATTTTTAGGAAGTTATGAAGGGAATTTTAACTGAACAATCCAAAAACAGTCAACTTTCTTTTTACAATTTAACATGCCATTCCACATCACAAGTGTAACAATGTATTATGATTATTACTGTTAGAATGGGGTAAATATACAATGAATCAGACACAATAAGTCTATTATTTTGATTCTCAGTTCCATAATACTGAGTCAAATGTAATATAAAATATTATTTTTTATATAGAAAATAGTTTTTTCTAACTCCTGCTCCTTTATTTCTTCAAGAATTCTTATTATGTGCCATCAAATTAGCATGGATTCTTAGCAACACTTTCTCCAGGTCAATTTCTTTCAATCCCAGCCTTCAGGTTTTCCAGTGGTGTGGCTACCACTGTTATAATCAGCTCCTTCTACCAGCTCCAGGAATTTTTACTGGTCTTATTGTGTAGGCTGCCATATTTTTGTAGATATGAGGTTCAAGATTTCAAAGCAATCCCATAACTTCTTGAAAATGGTGTGTATACATTCAAGATTACACATTTCTCATTAGATCTAGTTTCTTAGCTAAAATACTAAGAGACCACTAATCTTGTGGTTCCCAAACTGCACAATGCTGCCTTAACAAACTCATAGGGGCACCATAGGATATTTTACTACATAAGTAATGAGATTTTCCTTAGCTTCCTTGAGGTAAGTACACATTTTGGGAACCATTGTGTACTATGGTGTACCATGAAATTATTAAAATAATAAGGGCACTGTGAATTGAAAAGTGTGGAAGCCTCTGCATTAACCTAAGCGTTTCCTCTCCAGTAAGATTTAAACAGGAAAGATATTTTATTTTTCTACATTAATAATTTCAATACTGACACATTATCCTCATTTTTTAAAAAAAATTATCCCTGTCAATTTGGGGTTCTGGGAAAATTATTCACTCATGAAACATACAAGGCATTTGTGCCCCAAGTTTTAATTTTTTTCCATAGTGATTTGAGCACAAGATGACAAAAAAAAGTTTACACCATGTCAGCTTACAACAACTTATTCAAACAGATCAGCTACAACCTGTAAGATTTCATTTGGGCAATTATCTCTACTTTAAAGAACAGCATAAGGCTGATTCTCCTTTCCCTTTAATTATGGTATGAACATGGTTCATTTAATATTTTTAAATGATATGCTCTCATGACATTGCATGTATCTCATCTCTAGCCAATCTTTTTTATCTGTCCCAGTTTCATAGAAGACACCTCTCCTTCTGATGCAATTTTCACTTAGGACATATCTATCACACTTCACTAACTGAAGTTTAATTGATGATGCAGTCAAGACTTAAGATCTGCTAGCTCTTTTAGGCTGCTGCAAACATGCTTCTTACCAACTGGTTACATAGCTATTTTAGCTTTGACTACATGTGCAGAGGAACTGCCTCTGGTACATCAGGCTGGTGATTTCTGAAGAGATTTTAAAGTTTTATATAGGCTCCTTTATGAATAAGTATGCTAATCTGTATTTCTGAAAGAATATTAGACATTTACTTTTACTTACTTTTGAGTGACAGAAAATGTATTATTCAGAATGAGCAAGTAGCAATAAACACCACAAAGAGACAAGGAGCAAGAATAATAGTATTAAAAAAACAGTGAACCCTGCAACATGTTTAGGTTATTTTTAACATAGGTACTTTCAGAAGAGCCAAGTTCATACTAGCCAGGATAACAAGTCACAACCACAAAGAACTAATAACTCAAGGAATATAAAAGATAGCTAAATCTTACATACCCAGTACCCACCTATGCTCCTTCACCCATTAAGAGGAGGATTTTTCCCATTAGCAGCCAAGACTCAGAGAAAAAACAAAGTTATGAGGATCTACCTGTACATTTGATTTTCTTGAAGTATAAGGACAGCAACACTTGCCAGTTTGATTCCTGAGGCAGAATAGGAATCAGTAGTCAGGACAACAGAGTTGATGGCAAAATACTTTTCAGGAGATTCAAGGACTGGAGGATAACTTTTCAGCATGATCATTAGGAACAGCCCATCTTTAATTCGTGCCCTCCCATTATTATTCAAACAGCAGTTACCTGTATCTTATATCACTGTATTCATATTGTGAAAATCATTCTACTCTGAGAATATTTGTTTTCAATTAAGACTTTAACAATTCTTCTAAACAGAAACTTCTCAGTAATTTCCCCATAAAAACACATTTTGCTCATTCTTGGAGTTTTTGCAAGCAGATAGTTTTACTATTCTTTTACTTAGTTTGTGTGGCGTGATCAATTTATCTGAGGAAAAAAAATAGCTATTGGAAAATTTCAAACTGAAATATTTGATCTTCTATTGATTAGCTCAGATGTCCTATTATATATTTCAAATCACAAGAAACATTTTTGATTTTGGATATTAACATTAAAAATACCCGGAGAACATTTTTAATTTTTGAGTTTTATAAATGCTGTTTTGTAATGGACTTCCTCTGATGAGGGACACAATCTTACATTTCTCCTTTTAATGGGAATTAAAACCTTTCCTTTCCAAACACCTGAAAAACTTAAGAGAGTTTGCATTAATCTTTCCCGGCCCAAACAGTAAAAACGGTTACTTGATGACCAGGAAAATATCCTGTTAATTAAATCAATTCTCCTTGCAGGTGGTATTTATTTTGCATTCTATTGGGAGGGGGAGGGCAAGAATCAGGGAAACAAAACCCTCCACGGCGTTTTCGAGAGCTCTGCGTTTTAAGGCGGGTTTATTTCTGCAACTTTGGAGTTCTCCGTCCCATACCCCACGGAGAGCAATTCCCATTTGCAGCAGTTGAACGTGTTTATTTCGGAGTTGTAGTCAAAATGGGATAACGACAAAATGGGAACGGGGGGGGGGGGAGAGGGCAAAAGAGCCACCGGTTTTCTATACAAGGGTTATGCGCGGACTACTATTACTACTATACTATTAACAGCTATTAAGTTGAGCTGCAGACTGGAAGAAAGATTGCAAGAGTAAAAAAAAAAAGGAATAAAGAGCGGGGTGAGCAGAAATCACAAACGAGACGAGCTACCAGCCGCGTCTCACATCCAAATGCACGCCAGGCAAACACAATAGGTAGAAGCAACAGTACCAGAAAAACTAGGGGGAGGGGATGCCTGCGGCGCGTGCGCCGGAAAAAAAAAAAAATAAGGCGCGCGAGGATAAGAGGGTGTATGGGAGGGGCGACGCGAGGAGCGCAACCAACGAACACCCTTCAACGATTAAAATTGGGGGGGGGGAGGGGGGTTCCAAGTGGACAGACAGAAGGACAGTAGTCCTTGGGCATATTACACCCCTTCCCTTGCAGCCTCGCCCTACTTACACCCTTCTCTCACCGTCATAGTAGTAACAGACTTTCTTCTTGCCGCCTCCCTGACTATACGCCATGAAGCCGTCTGAAGGAGGCTCCCTTGGAGGGGACGGGAGGGATTCGATTCGATTCGACAACAGGACCGAAGCCGAACTATCTGGGAAGGCAGCGACGGCACGACAACACAGATGCCGGAGCCGGGGACAGCGTAAGGGAGCTTGGGGTCCCGCCTCCTCCAAACGTGACTGCTGTCAGCCGAAGGTACCATTGAAGAAGACGGGAGGAATTAAACTTTTGGGCTCGTTTCACATAGTACTTTTATTTTTAAAAGTTACTGTGTGGTTACACACTGCATAGTCTAAAAGATCACGTTAATTTGTGGGCGCTACAGAAAATGTGATGGGAAGACACCCAGTAGGGAAAAAAATGTAGGCTACTCATCCCCCTTCTCAACATAGGTATATTGGTACGGTCTGCGTAAAGAAGCAGGCCGCTCTCCTCGCTCTGCCCATTTTAAACAGAACGCATGTGCAAAAGCTTCTTTGGGTGGTAGCGATGCTTTGGGCCTTACGCTGCAGTAAATAAAAAGTTATTCTTCCCCCCCTGCTCATCAAATAGGAACGAGGAGGGCTCTGTTTTGAGATAAAAGGGAGTGAGAATTAGTGGGTAGTTTATGCTTCAGCTCTGATGGAAAAAAAATTAATAAAAAAGTTTCGAGGCGTGCATCTTTGCTTAGGCTTTTTTTTTTTTTAAAAAAAAAAAAACCTTTTATTCTCTTAAAGCTTCAGTTTATAAGTATTTTTGAAACTGCTCATTGAGAGCTAGTCGTTTAAGAATCAGGCCCAGTAAGAAATAAATAAGTTATAGTGGAACAAAATATATAAAGGAATATATACATATAAATGTAGATATAGTTAAAATCTATGTAAAAAGTATATATACTGATACTGAAGCGTTGCAATGAATGGAAAATGTTGTAAAATAAGGAAAACTGATTAATAAAAAAAGATCTTAAAAAAATCAAGCCCAGTAAGATCTGTTTTATGTAAATCCAAAAGAACAGTAAACCTTTGAATAAGCATTCCTGCTTTGGCCTATAAATCTACTTCCAAAATTTGACTGTGAGGAAAAACATGAAAATTTTTACTGTCTTATTACTTGGTGCTGGATATGTTGAAGTAGCGTTAAACCTAAAGGAATATATCTGGAAATTTTTGGATGAGAAGTCAACAAACAGAATCAAGTTTATGAGCAAAGAAGGATTAAGTTCCTTTTTTTCTGAATCAATGCATCCTGGAAGAAAAAAAAAAACACAAGTCACACACGCACACACGTTAAATGTCCTTACATTTTAAAATTGTACTTTAGAATAGAATAGAATTCTTTATTGGACACACAAGGAATTTGTCTTGGTGCAAATGCTCTCGGTGTACATAAAAGAAAAGATACATTCGTCAAGATTCAAGAATCATAAGGTACAACACTTAATGATAGTCCTAGGGTACAATAAGCAATCAAATCATACTAGGAAACAGTCCATATAAATAGTATGGATAGAAGCGACAAAGTTACAGTCACAGTCACGTGGGAAGGGATGGGTGATAAGGAGTGATGAGAAGATTAATAGTATTAGTAATACAGACTTTGTAAATAGTTGGACAGTGTTGAGAGAACTATTTGTTTAGCAGAGTGATGGCGTTTGGGAAAAACCTGTCCTTGTGTCTAGTTGTTCTGGTGTGCAGTCCTCTCTAGCGTCGTTTTGAGGGTAGGAATTGAAACAGTTTATGTCCAGGATGTGAGGGATCTGTAAATATTTTCACAGCCCTCTTTTTGATTCATACAATATACAGGTCCTCGATTGAAGGCAGGCTGGTAATTGTTTTTTTTGCAGTCCTAATTACTCTTTGAAGTCTGTGTCTGTCTTGTTGGGTTGCAGAACCAAACACTTATACTCTATCAACAATGAATATATTTAAAATACATTGATATCTTTCTATTATATAATCTTTAGAAATTGTTTTGGGGAATCTGGGTCAATATTATATGAATATTTTTCTTAGTTACATGTACTCTTCAACTTATGACTGGTTGTTTTGCGACTGTTCAAAGTTATAATGGATCTCTCCAGAGCTACTCACATCTTGGTTTCAAACTTCTAATGCCCCACCCATCCAGCCCCGTGGTCACTTAATCACATTTTGGTGCTTGGCAACTGGCCCACATTTATGTTTATTTCTAGTTTCTGGCAAAAAATGCCCATTGGATACAATGAGTTTATCTAATGACTATTGCATTTACTTAGTGGCCACTGCAAAAAATATCATAAAATCGGACATGGTCACTTGATGACCTGCTTAATGACTGCCACAACCATAATTCTGGGTTGTAAATTATGGTTGTAAATTGAGGACTACCTGAATTTTATAAATAATTTTAAAATAAAATATTAGAAACATTTCATAAACACTCTGTATGGAACTGCCCATGAAGAAAGGAAGAGAATCAGTGTAAAATACTGCAGTCAATCCAGAAGGATACCTTGATTGTTTGTATTAAAAGCTGCAGAGAAATGAAGGAATGTAATGGCACGGCCAATTCTGTCTTCAGGGGTGGGCTTCAAAAATTTCAGCAACAGGTTCTCTGCCCAGTTGCAGGGTGGGCGTGGCCATAGTGGGTGTGGCCCAGTTGGCCTCCTACACCACGGCAGGGGGGCTGTTTTCACTTTCCCCAGGCTCCAAAGGCTTTCCTTGAGCCTCTGGGAGGGTGAAAACAGCCTCCCCCGGGGGGAAGGGGAGGAGTGGGTCCAGGCAGCCAGGGGTGGGATTTGGTGGTTCGTAGAACCACCCATAATGTTAGCAATGGGTCTGACTGAACCTGTACCAGCCCACCCCTGGCTGTCTTCACACTAAATCATGGTTTCAAAACTGATTGAAATGGTTCCAGATCATCTGCTTCCTCCAAAATTCTCTGTGATTGTTATTCAACGCTCTATCAACAACATCCCCTAAAAAGGGAAGGCTGGAGACAGAACAATAATTGCACAGAATTTCTTGATGTAAAATGACTCCTTGAAGAGGAGGTACACTACTGACTCCTTCAAAGCTGAAGCACCATCCATGTCTCAAGGAAACTGACCACAGCATGACCCATCTACAGCTTTTTAATTACCTTAACAACTGAAGAAAAAGCTAAACTTTTGGTCAAAGTAACATTCTGGAGAATCCTGTCTATTTCCTCAAGAGTCACTGGCTCTAACTCATCTCAAGTAATACCATAATACTGGACAAAATTACGGAAATTAACTGACTTGATCATCAAAATTATTTTTCCTAGAGGAATGAACAGTTTGATACAGTATTAGTAAAACATTGATTCAATATGATATTTTAAAAGACAATATAAGAAAGATAATTCTCAGTAATTGTTAATGAGGTGGCACTCATCTTCCTAGATTTTAAGGTACAGAAACAGTTCATATATAGTGGACTTTTGGTTGGCCATTTTGGGAATAAAACAGTGAAGTTCATTTATCCATTTGTTGTGATTAGCCGGCTGCAGGTGCGGATGGCTGAGGAGAGCGAGGACTCAGATGAGGGGCCAGGACCATTAGGGAGTGGACTGCTGCCTTCAGAGATTGTGCGGGCTGGCAGTAGTGATGAGGAGGTTCCTGAGGAGCCTGTGCCAAGTGCGCGTGCACACAGGATTGCTCGCAGGAAAGAGCAGCTATAACAGCACGGGCGACTCGGGAGTAAGGCTGCAAGGTAATGGCCTCTCCTTCAAGAAGATAAAAACCATCTGTGAAACGAACATTCTTTGCAGAAGACAAAGACGTTTTGAAACTCCAGCCTCGTGGACATTCCAGTATCCTGAGTTTGTATTTGAAGATTCTTGTATTGCAAATTATTTCTTGTCTATTATCTTTTGGCAAGTCTTGCACAGTTTGGCAAGGCTTGTGCTTATCACAGCTAATTATTTTGCCGAAGCATTAAAAGGTTTCTGTTCCCTTTGGATTGTGTTTGATTTCTTGGAAAAGGGCATGGGTCAGAACACAACTGGGGCTGAATTGACCTGATTATATGGCTAAATTACAAAGAGATGAAATTATTTTTATATCTTTTTGTTATAGTTACATTTTTATTACTTATCTATAATCTTCAAAATGCAGTTCATATCACTGTCATTTGCTCAGTTGCATTCTTCTTTTAGAACTAGAATTGTTTTCAGAAAATCAATTCTGAAGTATATTGTACTTTAGATTCTTGGAAATTTATATACTTCCCGGTGCCGCCCAATTATAATTCTCAATTGTCTTAGCCAACACGGCCAGTAGTGAGGGATGTTTGAAACTAATTTAACAACATTTGGAAAGCCATATTCTTCCAGCTTGAATTAAAGGAATATTTGGACTGCTCGATTATAAAGTTTGAAGCAGTAATTATCTCATTTTTGTAATGGTATTAATGTTTGCATTTGTTCTCACTTAAGTAGATTATTCATGGATTTAACTTTATTTGGCCATTATTACTTATGAGTGAAGTTCATACTGTAAAAATATTTGAAATTATTGTAAATGTTTCATGTCAATTAAAGCATATAAAATTCAATATACAGAGGTTTCAAAATTGGGAGTATAGGTTTCTTCTCTTTCTATGAAACACAAAAGAACTGGATGTATTTTTCACAGAGAGAAATAATTTATTTTAACATAGGTCATAATTAGGAGAATTATATATTATATGGAGTCGTGTCTTGATTTGGGAATCTGCCAACAGAAAATAGCTTTTATTGGTAGATATTGGGAATATAATTTTTATGCTACTGGCTATTCTCATCTAATAAATGTCCTCTCTCAGTGTATGGAAGGTAAAAGAGCTACTGTAATTTTCATGAATGTGCACAAAACTATTGTAATTTTTACTCTAATTATAAGGAAGAGGATACCATAAAACCTTGATTTTGGTTATGTCTTTTTAATAATAAGCACTTTTTAATTTTTCAGACATTTGATTAGTTTCAAAGGATGTCCTTTAAAAGGAAACTGTATTTATAAAGACTGTGTCAAATGTCCCTCCCTTTTTCTGGTGAGAACCAGATATAGTTCTAAATTGATATGTAGTAAAGATTGATAAAATAATAAACTAGTGCATTCAGATCAATTGTTTTAAATCATGTTCTATAATTTGCCAATAACATTTCTCAAACATTTCAGTCCACATTACATAGTAA